CCCCAAAGCCCGGGATTTGGGGATTGGGAGTGCCAGGGATCCCCCAAAACCCGGGATTTGGGGATGCTGGGAGTGCCAGGGATCCCCCAAACCCCAGGAGCTGGGGGCTGGGAGTGCCAGGGATCCCCCAAACCCGGGATTTGGGGATTGGGAGTGCCAGGGATCCCCCAAACCCGGGATTTGGGGATTGGGAGTGCCAGGGATCCCCCAAAGCCCGGGATTTGGGGGCTGGGATCCCGGCAGGGGAAGGAAATCCCTGGGATCTGGGGATATTGCGAGGCCTGAGGATGACCCAGCACTGGGATTTGGGGTCGCCGCCAAGGCCGGGGCTGGGAAACCTCCCGGATTCGGGAATGCCGCGATCCCGAAGGGCGCACGAACGCCGGGAGCCGGGAATGCCGGGAATGCCGGGAGCGGGGGGGGGTCCGAGCCCCTGGCCCGGGGGTTCCCGGGAATGGGACAGCGGGAAGGGCCCCCCCGGCAGCTGCTGGAGCAGCGGGACACGGGGGGAGCCCAAATCCCGGGAAAGGGCCCCCCCCCATCCAGGGAAAAGCAGCACAAACCCCGCAGGCCATTCCTGACCCCACCCGCCCCAAAAAGCTGCTTTTTCACCCCAAAAACGTCCCAGACGAGCTGTGAGGTCACCCCCCGCCTCGCCCCTCCTGTCACCCTTTTTTGGGGGGGGGGGTTGGCCCCCAATGACACTTTTGTGCCCCCCCCGAGGGGGACCTGGGCGTGTCCCCACCCCCGGCACCGCCCGTCCCGGGGGGTCCCCAACTCGGGGGGGTGGCAGGGAAGGGACCCCCCCCCCCCCCTTCCACCCCTCCCCAAAATTCGGGACCGCCCCTCCCCCCCCCGGGAGCGCAGAGAGGCCAAAAATATCCGCGCTGGTGTCACCGCCCGGCGACGTCCCCCAAAAAAGGAACCGGGGGGGGCCTTAGGGGGGGCCCCAAGTGTCGGGCGGGGCGTGACAACGTGGGGGGGGGTCACAAATTGAGAGGGGGGGACACAACCAGGACACACACACACACCCCCCATGACCGTGTCCCCGTCCCCGCGGCGGTGGCAGAGCCCGGGGTGGGCAAAAACCCGCCCGGGGGAGCCCCCAAAGCCCGGGACCCCCCCGGGGGAGCCCCCCCCGAGCCCAGAGCCCCCCCCTGGGGGAGCCCCCACCTTGGAAGCTGGCGGAGCAATACGCGTCGCTGATGTCCGAGTCGGGCGAGAGCAGGTTCTCGGCGCGGAGGATGAACACGCGGAGCATCCTCCTCCTCCTCCTCTTCCCTCGGCCCAGCCCCCCCCCGTCCCCTGACCCCCCCCCCCCAAATCCCAGGAACCCCCCCCGGCCCCGCCCCGGCCCCGCCTCCCTTAAAGGGACCCGGCCCCGGGGCGGGGAGACCCCCCCCGGGGGGGGCGAGGGGGGGATTTGGGGTGGGACCCCCCCGGAATGAGGGCGGGGGAGGGACCCCCTCCTTGGGGACCGCCAGGAAGGGGGTGGGCCCCCCCCAGTAAGGGTGGGGGAGGGTCGGGAGGGTCCCCCCTCCTTGGGGACCCCACGAAGGGGGGGGTGAGAACCCCTGCAACAAGGACGGGCGCGTGTCCCCCCTTTGGGAGCCCCCCACTGTCCTCGGGAGGGACTTGGGGGTCCCCACTCCCTCATTGTCCCTGGGGGGGGAGATTTGGGGGTCCTCACCCCCTCATTGTGCCCTGGGGGGGATTTGGAGGTCTCCACCCCCTCCTTGTGACCCGGGGGGAGGAATCTGGGGGTCCCCACTCCCCCATTGTCCCCGGGGGGTCTCCACCCCCTCCTTGTGCCCTGGGGGGATGTTGGGGGGTCCCCGCTCCCCCCGTTGCCCCCGGGAGGGATTAGAGGGGTCTCCACCCCCCCACTGTGACACCGGGAGAGAATCTGGGGGTCCCCACCCCCCGATTGTGCCGAGGGGGTGCATTTGGGGCTGGGGGGGGGGCGTCTCCCACCGTGTCCCAGCGGGAGCAGCCGGGAACGCCCCTCCCCCCTCCCCCGGCTATTTTGGGGGGGTGATTTTATCCCGGGATTTCCCAGCAAGCGGCTCCGGGAGGCCCCTCCCCCAGAGCGGGAAAAGGGACCCCCCCTTTTCCCTGTGTCCCCCCTTTCCCAACCCTCCATCCCCCTTTCCCCCCCCCCCCCCCCCCATTCCCAGCCTTGCCCGGCCCCAAAAGCCGGGATCAGCCTTGGGATTGGAACCCTGGGAGCAGCAGAGCCCTGGAATTGGGGGGGGAAAGGGAATCTGGGGGGGTTGGGGGGAAATGGGGCATTTGGGGGAATTGGGGATTTGGGGGAGATGAGGGATTGAGGGAAATGGGGGAATTGGGGGGGGTTGGAGGGAATTAGGGGGAAAATGGGGGGGTTGGGGGAAATGAGGGATTTGAGGGAAATGGGGGAATTGGGGGAATTGGGGGGAAATGGGGGAACTGTGGGGTTTAGGGGGGTTTGAGGGAATTAGGGGAAAATGGGGGGTTTGGGGGAATTAGGGGATTTGAGGGAATTAGGGGGAAAATGGGGGGTTTGGGGGAATTAGGGGATTTGAGGGAATTAGGGGGAAAATGGGGGATTTGGGGGAGATGAGGGATTTGAGGGAATTAGGGGAATTGGGGGATTTGGGGTAATTGAGGGAATTAGGGGGGAAAAGGGGGATTTGGGGGAATTGGGGGATTTGAGGGAATTAGGGGGAAAATGGGGGATTTGGGGGAGATGAGGGATTTGAGGGAATTAGGGGGGAAAAGGGGGATTTGGGGGAATTGAGGGAATTAGAGGGAAAATGGGGGACTTGGGGGAATTGGGGGATTTGGGACAGATTAAAGCCAAGGGCACCCGTGGGAGAAGGAAGAGCCCAGCCAGGGGGTCCCTCAGCCCCCAGAGCCCCCCCCACGTTCCCCTCACGTGCCCCAAAAACCCCCCAGACCCCCCCCACTTGCCCCAAGACACTTCAGAACCCCCAACTTGCCCCGAGCCCCCCCAGATGCCCCCCCACATCCCCTCCAGACCCCCCCACATCCCCCCAGACCCTCCCACATCCCCCCCACTTGCCCCAAGACCCCCCAAGCCCCCCCCGACCCCCCCCCCCCCCTCGCCCCCAGCCCCCCCCCCACGTGCCCCAAGCCCCCCCAGGTGTCCCTGCCCCCTGTGCCACCTGCGTGTCCCCAACACGGGCTGTGTGTGTCGTGTGTGTCCCCCCCCCGTGCCACGCGTGCCCCCGGCAGCGCCCACAGCCCCCAGACCCCGGGGGCCCCTCCCACGGGGTCCCAGTGTCCCCACGGGGGTCCTGGTGTCCCCAGGGGGGTCCTGGTGTCCCCACGGGGGTCCCACTGTCCCCAGGGATCTCAGTGTCACCACAGGGGTCTCGGTGTCCCCACGGGGGTCCCAGTGTCCCCACGAGTGGTCCCTGTGTCCCCAGGGGGATCTCGGTGTCCCCAGGGGGGTCCTGGTGTCCCCAGGAATCTCAGTGTCCCCACAGGGGTCTCGGTGTCCCCACAGGGGTCCCGCTGTCCCCATGGTGGGTCCTGGTGTCCCCAGGAATCTCAGTGTCCCCACAGGGGTCTCGGTGTCCCCACAGATGTCCCGCTGTCCCCACGGGGGTCCCGGTGTCCCCAGGAGTGTCCCGCTGTCCCCAGGGATCTCAGTGTCCCCACAGGGGTCCCGCTGTCCCCATGGGGAATCCTGGTGTCCCCAGAGGGGTCCCGTTGTTCCCAGGGGGTCCCTGTGTCCCATCCCCAGGGGGTCCCGCTGTCCCCAGGGATCTCAGTGTCCCCAGAGGGGTCCCGCTGTTCCCGGGGGGGTCCCGCTGTCCCCAGGGGGTCCCCGTGTCCCATCCCCGGGGGGGTCCCGGTGTCCCCAGAGGGTCCCGCTGTCCCCAGGGGGTCCCCGTGTCCCATCCCCGGGGGGGTCCCGGTGTCCCCAGAGGGTCCCGGTGTCCCCATTCCCGCCCGGGCCGTGCCATGGCCCGGTGTCACCTCCCCGTGCCCCCCACACCCGTGCCCGGCACCCCCGGCAGTGCCACCTGTGCCACCCCCCCCCCGCGACCCCCCCCGCGCTGGCACCGCCGCCGCCTCATTAACCTTTCTTGATTAACGTAATTAACTCCAGCACCCTCCGCTCGCGCAGCGACACCCCGGAGCGGCGCGGGGGGGACAGGAGGTGGCACCTGGGACCGGGGGACACGGGGGACCCCCAGGGGACAGGATGGAGCCCGGGGGGGGACAGGAGGTGGCATCTGGGCCCGGGGGGGACACGGGGACCCCCAGGGGACAGGACAGGCCCTGGGGGGGACAGGAGGTGGCATCTGCATCCCGGGGGGACAGGACAGACTCGGGAGGGGACAGGAGGTGGCATCTGGGCCCGAGGGGACACGGGGGACCCCCAAGGGACAGGACGGAGCCCGGGGGGAACCAAGAGGTGGCACTTGCAGCCGGGGGGACACGAGGGACCCCCAGGGGACAGGACAGGGCCCGGGGGGGACAGGAGATGGCATCTGCACCCCAGGGGACACAGGGGACCCCCAGGGTACAGGACGGAGCCTGGGGGGGGACAGGAGGTGGCACCTGCAGCCGGGGGGGACATGGGGGACCCCCAGGGTACAGGATGGAGCCCGGGGGGGGACAGGAGGTGGCATCTGGGCCGGGGGGACACGGGGGACCCCCAGGGGACAGGACAGGGCCTGGGGGGGGACAGGAGGTGGCATCTGCACCCCGGGGGGACATGGGGGACCCCCAGGGTACAGGATGGAGCCCCGGGGGGGGACAGGAGGTGGCATCTGGGCCCGGGGGGATATGGAGGACCCCCAGGGGACAGGACCCCGGGAGTGAGGACAGCCCCGGGGGGCCGGGGGGCACAGGGTGGGTGCTGGGAGGGTGAAGCCCCCACTCCCTCTGCCCGGGGCTGTACCCAGGACCCCCCCCCCGTGCCACCACCCCGGGGGTCCCCAGTGCCACCCCCCTTCCCCCTCACAGACCCCCGGATCCGCAGCCCTTCTGCAAGGCCTTTATTCCCACGGCACAGCCCCCCCCCCCCCAAAACGAGGGACACCCCCCCGGCCACGCCCTGGCAGCGCCGCGGGGGAAGGGGGGGCTGTCCCCGGGGGTCCCTGTGCACGGGGGTCCCGTCCCTGGGGGTCCCTGTCCCCGAGGACCCCCCCAGCCCTGCCCGGGGTGGCCACGGGGGGGTCCCGGGGGGGGACATACACTGACACCGAACAGGGACAGTGAGTGGTGACAGGAGACACGGGGGGGGGGGATATGGGGGAGGGGGGGTTGAAGGTGTTGGGGTTGAACCCTTTTTATGTACAAAGTTCCCGCTGCTCCTTCCCAGCTGGGGGGGGGAGGGAGGGCAAAGGGGGGGACTGGGACACCCCCCTGGGGGCTGCAGGGCCGGGCTGGGGTCCCCTGACCCCCCCTCCCCCCACCCAGGGCTCCCCCCGGGCTAAAAATAACTCGAGTGTTGCTATTAATGAGGATTGATAACGAGGGGAGGAGACGCCACGGCCCCGGGGGCAGGGACAGGGACAGGGAAGGGACAGGGGCGTCCCCACCCGGGGGGGCACCGGGGCCCGATCCTGCACGGGCACAGATCTGGGATCCGGGATCCAGCCCTGGGAGCCGGGGGTGGGCAGCTCCAGATGTGGAGCCGCACAGCTGGGAGAGAGCTGGGAACGGTGGGGGGAGCTGGATCCACCTGAGCATCCTTCCTGTCCTGGGATATCCATCCCAGCCCAGAGCATCCCATCCCTGGGCATCCTTCCTGTCCTGGAATATCCATCCCAGCCCATCCCAGAGCATCCCATCCCAGAGCATCCTTCCTGTCCTGGAATATCCATCCCAGCCCATCCCAGAGCATCCCATCCCTGGGCATCCTTCCTGTCCTGGAATATCCATCCCATCCCATCCCAGAGCATCCTTCCTGTCCAGGGATACCCATTCCACCTGAGCATCCTTCCTGTCCTGGAATATCCATCCCAGCCCAGAGCATCCTTCCTGTCCCAGGGATACCCATTCCATCCCAGAGCATCCTTCCTATCCAGGGATCTCCATCCCACCTTGGAGCATCCATCCCTCCTGCCTGGAGCATCCTCCAACCACAAATATCCATCCCATTCCAAAGCATCCAGCCCAGCCTGGAGCTTCCAGCCCTCTCCAGAGCATCTCTCCCTCCATCCCTCCATCCCTCCATCCATCCCTCCATCCCAGCCTGGAGCTTCCAGCCCTCTCCAGAGCATCCACCCATCTCTCCATCCATCTCTCCATCCATCCCCTCCCTGGAGCTTCCATCCTGCCCTGGACCATCCCTCCAGCTCTGAGTGTCCATCCTGCCTTGGAACATCCCTCCCACCCTGGAGCATCCATCCCACCCTGGAGCATCCATCCCACCCTGGAGCATCCATCCATCCTGTCCCAGCTCATCTCTCCTGCCCCAGAGCATCCATCCCTCCATCCCTCCATCCATCCCTCCATCCCTTCATCCATCCCTCCACCCCACCCCAGAGCATCCCTCCTGCCCTGGAGCCTCCCTCCAACCCCGAGTATCCATCCTGTTCCAGAGCATCCCTCCCACCCTGGAGCATCCCTCCCACCCTGGAGCATCCATCCCACCTCAGGGAATCTCTCTCTTCCTGGAGCATCCATCCCACCTCAGGGCATCCCCCCCACCCTGGCACACCCCTCCCTCCTCTCCCGGCCCCTGGTGCCCTCGGTCCCGCTGCCCCCACTCCCAGGTCTCTCCACGTCTTTCCGAGGCCAAATCCAGCGGGTTTGGGTCATCCTGGGCTCCCCAAAGCCCCCCTGCAGCAGGGCCGGGGTCCCCTCGGGGGGCCCGTGCTGGGGGGGCCGTGGCCATGGGGTCGGGGGTCCCCTTTGGGGTGGGGGTCCCCTTTGGGGTGGGGGTCCCCCCGTCCCGCTCCGTGTGGCGGCTCCGGTGCCGTCCCGGCTCCCAGGGCGGCTCGAGGGGGCCGGGCCCGGCTGCAAGGGAAGGGGGGGTGGCAATGGGGGACACGGGGGGACAGGGGGGTCCCCATCCCTTGTCCCTGCCCCTCCATGTCCATCCCAGGGGAATGGGGGGTCTGGAGCCCCCCAGGACCCACCGTGCTTAGGAATAGGCCAATCCCTGGAGCGGCCGCGCCGGGAACTTGTCGGAGTCCTCGAACGGAGGGTCTGGCACAGGGGGACAGGGGGGGACAACAGGGGACAGGGGAGACAAGGGGGGACAGGGTGAGGCAAGGGGGGACACCAGGGACATGGGGGGACACCAGGGACATGGGGGGACACGGGACGACAGGCACTGAGGTGGCACAGGGCAGCCCCGGCCGTGCCCATGTCCAGGGGACACGGGGACCTCTCTGTGGGGCAGGGGGGAACCTGGGGGGGATGTTGGGGACACTGGGGACATCGGGAACACGGCAGGGGACACAGGTGGCACAGGGCACCCACCCCCTGAGCACAGCCCTGGCCGTGCCCAGGGACAGGGAACACGGTGACACTGGGATCCCCTGTGGGGCATGGGGTGAGTGCTGGGGACACTGGGGACACTGGGGGACAGGGAGGAGGGTGGCACTGGGCAGCCCTGGCTGTCCCCAGGTGCAGGGAGCCAGGCAGGTACAGGGAGCATGGTGACACCAGGGTGCCTCCACGGGGCAGGGGTCACCTGGAGTGGGTGTGGGGGACACTGGGGGACATTGGGGGACACTGGGGACAGGCATGAGGGTGGCACAGGGCAGCCCTGGCCATGCCCCTGTACAGGACATCAGGGAGGCACAGGGAGCACGGTGACACCGGCACCCCTCTGTGGGGCAGGGGGTGGGTACTGGGGACACTGGGGGACACTGGGGACAGGCACGAGGGTGGCACAGGGCAGCCCTGGCCACCTCCCTGTACAGCCCATCGGGGAAGCACAGGGAGCACGGTGACACCGGCACCCCTCTGTGGGGCAGGGGGGAGCCGGGGGTGGGTGTGGGGGACACGGGGGACACGGGGGACACGGGGGACACCGGGGACACTGTCACCTTGCAGGGCGGCGGCGCTGGCACAGGCGGGGTTTGGGGAGCCGGGCGGGCGCACGACGGGGGCGAAGGCGCTTTTCTGCTTCACGGCCGAGATCATCGTCACCGGGGAGAAGGAGAAACCCCCCGGCGGGGTGGGCGCGGGGGGGCCCGCGGGGACCGACACCGACGACGCGCCCAGGGGGGGACTGGCCGGCATGACTGCGGGGACAGGGACAGCCGGGTGGGGACACCGCGGGGACACCGCGGGGACAGTGCGGGGACAGCGACAGCCGGGGGGGGACATCGCGGGGACAGCGACAGCCGGGGGGGGACATCGCGGGGACAGTGACAGCCGGGGGGGGGCACCGCGGGGGCAGTGACACCCGGGGGGGACACCGTGGGGGCAGCAACAGCCGGGGGGGACACCGCGGGGACAGTGACACCCGGGGGGGACACCGCGGGGGCAGTGACACACCGCCTGCCACGTGACTTTGGGGACCCCCCCAAGGGACCCCTCCCATGACTCTGGGAACCCCCCCAGGGCTGGCACAGAGCTATGGGGACCCCCCCCATGATTTCGGGACCATCCCCCCCCAGGGCTGGCACATGACTTTGGGACCCTCCAGGGACACCCCCCCATGACTCTGGGGACCCCCCCACGGCTGGCACGCGGCTGTGGGGAGACCCCAGCTTTGGCCCATGGCTTTGGGACACCCCAGGCTTGGCACGACTTTGGGGACCCCCCCAGGAACCCTCCCATGACTCTGGGGATCCTCCATGACTTTGGGGA